AGAGATGGGTCTTTAATCTAGATTTAAACTGACAGAGTGTGTCTGCCTCCCGAACAACGCTAGGTAGATTGTTCCAGAATTTGGGCACTAAATAGGAAAAGGATCTGCCGCCCGCTGTTGATTTTGATATTCTAGGTATTATCAAATGGCCAGAGTTTTGAGATCGCAGTGGACGTGAAGGACTATAATGCGATATGAGCTCGCTCAAGTATTGAGGAGCTAAACCATTCAGGGCTTTATAAGTAATTAGCAAGATTTTCAAATGTATTCATTGTTTAATAGGGAGCCAGTGCAGAGTTGACAGAACCGGGCTAATGTGGTCATATTTCCTGGTTCTAGTAAAAATTACCATACTTGGCCACACGTCACGTCACTTCACTTACTCACTTAATCGTTTCAGTATTTGACATTAAGAGCATAGGTCGTAATTTAGATATATTTTTAAGATGGAAAAATATGGTTTTACAAATGCTAGAAACATGTTTTTTTAAAGGAAAGATTGCTATCAAATAGCACACCTAGGTTCCTAACTAGTTTTTCAAATTTGTAGGTTTCATTGGGCCATGGAGAAATATAGAGCTGAGTATCATCAGCATAACAGTGAAAGCTAACACCGTGTTTCCTGATGATATCTCCCAAGTAAGATTTGATTCATGACAATGCAATTCCACTAATGCCAACATAATTTTGTAGTCTATTCAAAAGAACGTTGTAGTTGATTGTGTCAAACGCAGCACTAAGATCCAGTAGCACTAATAAAGAAATACAACCATGATCAGATGATAAGAGCAGGTCATTTGTAACTTTGATGAGAGCAATCTCAGTACTATGATACTGTCTAAATCCTGACTGGAAATCCTTAGAGATACCATTTCTCTCTAAGAAGGAACATAGCTGAGAGGATGCTGCCTTTTCTAGTATTTTTGACAGAAAAGGGAGATTTGAGATTGGTCTGTAATTAACTAATTCTCTAGGATCAAGTTGTATTTTTTTTTAATGAGAGGCTTAATAACAGCCAATTTGAAGACTTTTGGGACATACAGTCGTGGTCAGAATTATTGGCACCCTTGGTAAATATGATCAAAGAAGGCTGTGAAAATAAATCTGCATTGATGCGATACTGTGGCTGACGGCTGCATGGTTATAATTTTATCTCTAATAGTATCGATCTTGGAAGTAAAGAATTTCATAAAGTCATTACTGCTGTACTGTTGGGAAAGGTCTGTGTCTGTTGATGCTTTATTTTTCGATAATTTAGCCACTGTATTGAATAAATCTATAGATTTATTTGAATAGATTTGAATAGATCTAGCAGTTTTTTAGAGCTTTTCTATAAGTAGAAGTACATTCCCGCCATGCAATACGAAATACCTCTAGTTTTGTTTTCTTCTAGCTGTGCTCCATTTTACAGGCTGCTCTCTTTAAGGCGCGAGTGTGCTTGTTATACCACGGTGTCAGACTGTTTTACTTAATCTTCTTTAAGCTTAAAGGAGCAACCGTATCTAAAGGGTTAGAAAAGACGAGTCAATAGTTTCTGTTACATCATCAAGTTTTTCTGAGCTATTGGATATGCTGAGAAATTGAGACAAGTCAGGAAGATTATTTACAAAGCAGTCTTTTATGGTAGAAGTGATGGTTCTACCATATTTGTTAGCTTTAGCTTCATGGAGTGTACACAAGACTAGATAATGATCCGAGATATCACTCTGCTGCAGAATATCAACGCCATTAACATCAATTCCATGTGACAGTATTAAATCTAAAGTATGATTACGACAATGAGTAGGCCCTGACACGTGTTGTCTAACTCCACTGGAGTGCAGAATGTCTATAAATGCTGATCCCAATGCATGTGAAGTCATGTGAGAAAATATTGCATATTCTTCAGGTTAAGAAACATTTCCATATTTATGAAGAAACAGTGATAAAAATCTGAGACTGTCATGAAAGCTCTTCTGGACTGTGTTGTTCATCTTCTATGACATTTGTGGGCCTTACATGTTTATTGCTTTATGGTTTTTCTTTTAAATAATACATCTTAGAGAATATGCAGCGGAAATATGAAATGCTTTTACTTGTTTATATAAATAAAGTAATAAAAAATGTTTTCCAGAATATTCCTGTACAGCATTTCTTGTCAGAACCAAATTTGTCTCCTCTCCACCCTAGTGTGTGTTGTGTGTCCGTCAGTAGCGGTATGTGAATCATCCCGTCCTGCTTTGTCCATCTTTTAAAATAACCCACAGCAGCTGAAACAAAGCCTGAGAGCTGAGAGACTTTCATGCTGATGACTGAACTGACAACAACTGACGAAAACATGACAATAAACATAACATACAGCATATGAGGGCACAACAAGACTCAGTTCATCAGTCATTTGATTTGTGTGCAATTCAGATTTTGCAGGTAAAGTTGACTCGAACCAAAGTTTAAGTTGTAATAGGCCTGATCATGGGTGAAAAAAGCCTGTTTTCCCAGCTGACAGAACCATGCCGTTTCTCTAGATAATATTAGGCGTAATCTTTTCTACGAAACTATTCATTCCTTCTCAAACAGACCCGCATGACAAAAAGTTATGCTGAGTTTAATAGAGTGTTATTTTGGTTGTGGCTTTATTTCATATGACAGTGTGGAAATAATGTTTCTCTGTGTGACTCAAAGCCATCAGAGCCAGAATCATCATTAACAGCAGCTCTTCATCATGTTGTGTGTGAAGAGCTTCTGCAGGTTTGGAAACTCCTCATATGTGTTACTCATCTGTATCTGTGAGAAAACACACGACACAACAGGGAAGCAGAAAGTGGATGTTAATGAAGCCACAGGCTCATGTGAATTTGAGTTTATATGAGACACACATCTATATAAAACACTATGAACATCAACACTGGAAAGTGTCTGTGATAAACATGCATTAAATCAAATAACACTTTTCATTAGGACAATTAAACAATAACTGCTAAATGCTCACTTATCTGTGTTTACCATTTAGATAGAGCATGCATGTCCATTTGACAAATAATAATCTTACTGACAAAACCGCAAACTACAGAACAAGTAACACAATAGTTATTTGTATTTGTCTCATAAAAAGCAGTAATTGTCAATCAGTTTCCAGGGACTTTTTTTTTTTGCTTGTTTTGCTTTGTTAAATCTATTAAACATACATATTAAACATTTTTAATATAAATAAAAAATAAAAATAAATAGTTGCATAAATAGTAAATAAAAATAAATAATACTTTAAAATAAAAAGGGATTTATTAACATAATTAAATAATAAAAACTATTCCTTTTTTGGATTCCTTAGTTAAAATGGCTGTTAAATCTATAAAAATACATTATTTTAAATATTATAAATAAATAAAATAAAACAATGCATTAAGGATTTATTAACATTATTAAAATATTTAATAATAATGTATACTGCTAAATACTCGCATATCTTTTTTTTTCATTTAGAGCTTGTCCATTTTACAAATAATAATCTTACTGACAAAAAAATAAGCAAACTATAGAACAAATAACACAAAAATAGACTTTTAAGTGTCAAAATGAAAAAGGTTTTGTCTGGTCAGTTAAGTCTTATTGATGGGACTGTGAGCACATCAGACAAAAACTCTGATCTACAGCTCGTGGATCTGTTATTTATATGAAGCCCGTTGAGCTCTCAGCCAATGAACGCAGCGCGTTCTGCACGGACACGCCTCGCACACTTTCACGCGTCGGTGCGCGAGCACTCACAAACTGTCAGATTACCGGCGATGAATCACGGGCCTAAGCCGTCTGATCCCTGAAGTTAATCAGACACCGGACAGGTCTGACCCACGGACGACCAACATGAGCGAGAGGTTTATGGTCGTGCCGGTGGCGCACGCCGAAGAGAGCGCGTTTGGAGACGAAGCGGACGGAGACTCTGTGTTTGACGCTGGTGCCGGTGAGGGCGAGCGCGCGGAGCGGCGGGGATCGGTGCCCATCCTCCGGTACAGCAGAGAACCCAACAAATACGGTGAGTTCATACGGTCCGAAAGTGTCGCTCTGAACGCTCGCGTTATCATTAACTAAGAGCCGTTATGTTGATAATAACAGGAGCGCGACGCGCGTCCAGAACTCATCAGTAGTTTTGCGCGTCGCGTCACTCGTGTGCACAAGTGAACAAGAAAGTGAAGGGAAACTTCATAATCCTTCTGGGGTTAATAAATGAAGTTACATACAAACTAGCGTTTGCAGAAAGATCTGTGCGTTTTAGTTGACCAAAGAGTTGCATACAGTATATGGAATATTATCTATTGTAGACGGTTTGTTTTTACTTAGATCTCTCTCAGGAGGTTTCATTCTCTCGGGGCCGTTATCCAGCTAACAATTTATTATTTATTTTTTGGTTTCTGAAATGTTTAGCATCAAATAGTTTATTCTTATTAATCAACTATTCAGGACATATCACTTTTTTAATCTAAAGCATTCTTACCCATTTAAAAAAAATTGCAATGGTTATCATAGTAACAATTGCAGCTTCAGTAAAACTGGTAACTTATACCAATGTCCTTAAAATACTGAAATTAATATATATTTATTATGTTATATGTAATACATGAATATAACTCTAACTATGGGAGTTTATTTTGTTTTAGTGGTTTCCATGTGTTTTTTGGGTAAGGTCCTGTGAAATTACTTATTCAGGATGGCATATTTGACACTGCCTGTATTTTGCTGGTGACATATTTATATTTTTACTCTTGTGTGTATTTGCATTAAATGCTGCTGTTTGATTGCATTTACTTTATAATGAAAATAAGCACAGTAGGAGGGTTTGATGCATGCCTTAGATCCTTATAATATAAAACAAAATGTATTTGCTTAATCTTTATTATTTATTATTATTTTTTAGTCCTGACTGAAATGTGAGGTGATAGAGTTTTATGTAACACAAGGCCCTTTTGGTTTTGCATGACTGCCTGATTTCAGGGGCTTGTCTAGACGTGTCTTGGGACACTTTTCATGCTCAGCTGTCTTCATTAATTACCATGACACATCTGTTTGTTTCCCGGGTTAGAAATCTAGCAACCTACATCTGAAAATACTAACAAAACAATGATTTACGTGAGTGAATCTGGCCTTTTATAGTCTCTCTTTGCTCTTTCATGTATTTAACAAGGTCTATGTCCATGTGGATGTAAGGGAGAAAATATATAACCAACTATATAACCAAGCGCATTAATGTAATGTATTTAGGGTCTCTCTGTCTGATGTCGGTCTTTATCTCTAATAGATATGAAAGCTTATAATTGGCCCTTCATTAAATTGAGGCCTTTTAAAACCAAAGTGTGTTTGATTATCTACTTTAGCACCAGTCACACAGTCTATAAAGAAGTTTAAAGTAGTGTTATTGCAAGAGCTGATCTTCTGCTGAAGGTCTGAAGTACTTAAGAAGGTCCAGGTGATCCGGAGACAGCACTTACTTGAGGTGCAGTAATTAAATAGACTGCAAAATCGAAGTTCAACAGCTTGTTTCAAAAGTTTCGCTTGGTGTTAATCATATAAAGACAATGTTAGTACAGGGCACTTTTGGTGATGTGCTTTACAAAGCTTCCCAAAGCGTTGAGCTGATCCTAAGAGCACGATCAGACCTACAGACACATTAGTGACACATGGGTTTCATTTGTTGGCGTGTGAAGCACTTTGCCTTTGGAGAAGTGCAGATAGGAGTTGTCTTCCAGATGGATGGGCTGGGGAGCATTGGATTGAGTTACACAATCATTATGGGAGTCAAGAACATCTCTTCATATATGTGGTGATGCTCTCTGTCTTTACTCCCAGACCTAGAACAATGCTGAGCAATTGCTTAAGTTGCTCCCAGACATTAAGCAATGTTGAGGTCTTGCAGACCCAGAACAACACTAAAAAAGCCGTAGTGGATGTAAGGAAGGAAATATATAACTAACTATATAACCAACTGCATTAATGCAATGCATTTAGGGTCTCTCTGTCTAATGTCGGTCTTTATCTCTAAAAGATAGGAAAGCTTATAATTGGCCCTTCATTAAATTGAGGCCTTTTAAAACCAAAGTGTGTTTGATTATCTACTTTAGCACCAGTCACACAGTCTATAAAGAAGTTTAAAGTAGTGTTATTGCAAGAGCTGATCTTCTGCTGAAGGTCTGAAGTACTTAAGAAGGTCCAGGTGATCCGGAGACAGCACTTACTTGAGGTGCAGTAATTAAATAGACTGCAAAATCGAAGTTCAACAGCTTGTTTCAAAAGTTTCGCTTGGTGTTAATCATATAAAGACAATGTTAGTACAGGGCACTTTTGGTGATGTGCTTTACAAAGCTTCCCAAAGCGTTGAGCTGATCCTAAGAGCACGATCAGACCTACAGACACATTAGTGACACATGGGTTTCATTTGTTGGCGTGTGAAGCACTTTGCCTTTGGAGAAGTGCAGATAGGAGTTGTCTTCCAGATGGATGGGCTGGGGAGCATTGGATTGAGTTACACAATCATTATGGGAGTCAAGAACATCTCTTCATATATGTGGTGATGCTCTCTGTCTTTACTCCCAGACCTAGAACAATGCTGAGCAATTGCTTAAGTTGCTCCCAGACATTAAGCAATGTTGAGGTCTTGCAGACCCAGAACAACACTAAAAAAGCCGTACATCCAAATCCAACCCAATGTTGAGGCCATGTTCCCAAATACTGCAGGCCAGAGATGTTGGGCCTACTATAACAATTACAAGCTTACATGCAACCAAACACAAATCCCATTTGTCTGAGAAATTAAAGGGATATTCCAGGTTAAAAACCACCGCTAATAATCTGGACTCCCATCGTTTGTGAAAAAAAAAAAATTTGACACTTATTGTATGCAAAGTCTTCGTTCTCACAATGTAAGTCTACAGGGTGATCATCCAAACCGAGGTACACATTAAAAGTATTAAGTAAAAAGTAAATAAAAGCTATATTGTTTGTTATTATATTCATAAAGTTAAATGGACTGCAAAAGTGCCCATTTTTGAACAGTTTAAATTTAATTATTACATTAAAATATATTTGGAAATAATGTGTAAGTTAAACTTAAAACCAGTGCAAACTATGCATTTGTACTTTTTTTATTATTCCTTTTTTATACATACACCTCACATGATTTATGTATTCTTCGTGTACAATATATTTGGCTCTCCAAAATAATAATAATAAATAAATAAAATAAATAAATAATTACTTCCAGTCAAAAGAACAGAAAAGCAAACTGAAAGTAGTATTTAACCTGGAATATTATTTTAAGTAGCTGTTTAAGTGGTTTCATAGGGCATATGATACTGTACACTTAGTAAGCATCACATGATATTTTAGCACACACATAATGCTGAGTTAACAGATTTGTACAGCATTTTTCAAACCACGTTTTATATGTGATCTGAGACGAGTGTTTTACTTTTATGTTGACCCTGTTCCTGAAAGCTCGCTAGAAGTTCATGAAGATTTTGGAATATAACTAATGTGCAATCAAACATGATCTGCTGTTTAATGGAAGTTTTTGCATCATGACTGGTGTCCACTAAACTGAGGTCTGATCTCAGTGCTGGAGGGTGGTCTTCACTCAGGGTCAGGGCAGATTAAAAAGAGAAGGAGGAATTATTTTTATTTAGCACATTTCTCCGTCGGGATACTGTGAACAGCTGACTCAAGCAACCCTGATCTATTTGTGTTGGCTGTTTGTCTACAAAAGTTTCTGTGCACCAACATTTCCAGTTACCAAAGCAAAGCTTCTTCTCTTCTTCTAACATATAAACACAATGCATGTCGTGCAGTTGGTTTCTGTGCTTCTGGGCAGCAATAATTAGCTTTAGAGTTCAGGAGTCATTTGTAATTTTAATTGCTATAATTGGCATCATAAGATGACAATCATGTGACTTTGTGCTCTTGTTCAGATGGGTGTTTTGTTTATGCTTGCTATAGGTTTCAAGCCCTGTTGAACTGCTTACCTAAACATAATTTAAACACTGCCTTTTATCCGGTGGTATTTTATGTCTGCTTTACTTTTTCTTTTTTTTTTTTGTAA